GTCACCAAGGGAGCGAAATTTGCAGAAAAAGTCTTACCAAAACAAAGTTACTGGGTTAATCTTTTTCACGTTTGCTTGGTTGGTAGATGCACCGGGGACCTGATTATAGCACTTAAAACCTGGAAAAGTCAGATTTTCATGATATGTCACCTTTAAGTTGAAGTACTAAAATAAAAACTAAAACTAAGAAAGAAATAAAAACTATAAAGTATGTTAAATATTAAAAATATTATGTTAAACTAAAATGAAAACATAAAATAAAAGCTAATTCAAACAAAATTAAACTAAAATGAAAAATATAAAAATAAAAATATTAATAAAAAACTTTAAAAGTATTTAATGATACTAAAACAACACTAAATAGTATCGCTGCAATGAGAATTCTCCTCAAAACCTCATGCTTGTATTTATGATAATGCATGTGCATGATGCTCACTAGTGTAATGCACGTCAGGAGCGAGCAGCGTGTAACTGCAGGCTGTAGATGCTGATTCTCTGGCAGCTTCTTTGTGTTCACACTGAATATCTCCGTCAGGCCTGACCGCACGTAACCTGTCTGTCACCTCAGAGCAGCCCTCCTACCGCTTAAACACGTCAGTGTGTGTGTGTGTGTGTGTCTGTGAGCGACCGCAGAATGCTTCATAGGCCAAATGTTTTCACTGGCAGCTTCAGTCAGTGGCTCTTTCATTAGGCTCTTTAGCGATGGATGGCCGCTTTGAAGGATGATGGGAAATCACTCCCTCCTGCCAGGACGATTTATGCCCCCTGTACACTCAGACCTGCCCTCTTTAGAACGGACCTCGAGATATATGACAGACACAAAGCTGCTGTTCACTGACAGGCTACTAGTTAAATGTAAAAACTGTTAACTTAAAGCAATAAACCAGTGTGACTTTCTCTCTTCTGTGTAAGAAAAAAACTGATAAAAAAACAGCACCCCCTGTTTTCACATGGTTGCAAATGCAACACTAAGTTTGTTCATTTAAATTGATTCAGTTTTAGCATTTCATAATTTATTTGTAATGATCTCTGAAATGTAAATTGTAAGTGGGCTATAATAAACCCATGCTTATCTTTATAAACATGATTACTTTTACTTGTGATGTTTTCTATATGGGATGATTAGCCTAATCCTCATGAACACGCAGAGGCGGACAAAGTACACAACTCCATTACTTGAGTGAAAGTACAGATACTGCTGGTCAAATATTACTCCATTACAAGTAAAAGTTGTCAAGACAGATTTTTACTTAAGTAAAAGTACAGAAGTACTTGCTTTTAAAAGTACTTAAGTACCAAAAGTAAATTTCCTTTTTTATGTCAATGCACTTGCACAAAAATGTTTTATTATTGTTGTATGTAATACTTGAAATAACTCTGAAGCAACTTACAATACATTACACCTACTGAATACACTGACTAGCTTGTAGTATCTTTGGGATAAAGAGCTTTTAGAATGTTAAAAACCTATGGGGAAAAAAATATATATTTAACACCCCTACCCAACCCAACAAAAGCAGGATGGTAGGGATCTCACACAGCTCTGGACACATCTATGTGTAACCATTCATCCACATTTGAACAGAGTGGACAGTGAAATTGCTGTAAATACAGACCGATAAGGAAGAAAATAAAAAATCAAACCTGCTTTAAAACCCAGCAACACAACTGTAGCTGTATAACTTTACAACAGCAACACTGCTTTAACAAAAAAGCAAAACAGCAAGACTTACAGTATTTCACATCAAAACAAAATGTAAAAAAAAAGCTGTTTAATCGCTCTCGCTGTACTTTAATGTCACACACAGTCTGTGCAGTGCCGCTTCAGTCAAACACCTTTTGTGTTTTATTAGGAGACGCACAACAGTTCTTCTGTGGCTTTATAGGTAATATTTTCACGTACACAATTTAGCAAAATCAGACAATATTGTGTCTAATATAAACCACAATATTAACTTCTTATTATTGAATTGTTGTAAATAAACATCACATTTGCAGCTGGTCAGTGTTCAACAAATGCTGGGAAATCACTTCATGTAGCCCCAAGAGTGATTACTGATAAACTGTCTGAAAAAAAGAAAGTCATGTTTTAGAGAAGAAAAAAAAATCACCCACTGATTTTCAAAGCTGCTACAGAGTAACGACTTTCTACTTCGAGGATCTTGATAGAAATGTAGTGGAGTGAAAAGTACAATATTTGTCTTTCAAATGTAGTGAAGTTAAAGTCATAATTTTCCAGAAAAAATAATACTCAAGTAAAGTACAGATAATCAAAAAGTGTTCTTAAGTACAATACTCAAGTAAATGTACTTAGTTACTGTCCGCCTCTGTGAACACGTGACGTTGGCGCGTGGTATCAGACATGAACTATACAGAATGCGAACAAGATTACATTTAATACAAGGAGATAATGGCGCAAAAGCGAATTTCAGATTTTTTCAAATGTCCATCCCAGCAAAAGCTTTCCAAAATCGGCATCCAAACAACACCAGCCCCAGCACAAGCACCGACGTAAGTGAACCAGCCCCCCCCCCTTTCACCCAACACGGACACACACAGCACCCCCAACCGAAAACATCTTCCCGCGCCCTTGTTTTTGGGTGTTAGTATCAATATGTTAGTCTTAAAAACGTCTCAGTGATTTTTTTTGACGTCACATCGTACTTCAGCTTCTCATCAAACAGAGACACGATAGCACGGAGCGGATCACATGTGCGAGTCGCCGCAGACCACAAAATGTATCGGAGCTATTTGAATTCTACACACAATGCTATATTTTATAGCAATATGGATGAGATTGTGGCTGGCATAAGGCTTTCACAAATATGGCCTTTTAGTCCAACCGAAAACATCTTCCCGCGCCCTTGTTTTTGGGTGTTAGTATCAATATGTTAGTCTTAAAAACGTCTCAGTGATTTTTTTTGACGTCACATCGTACTTCAGCTTCTCATCAAACAGAGACACGATAGCACGGAGCGGATCACATGTGCGAGTCGCCGCAGACCACAAAATGTATCGGAGCTATTTGAATTCTACACACAATGCTATATTTTATAGCAATATGGATGAGATTGTGGCTGGCATACGACTCTGTCAAATGCGGCTTTACGGAGCTCAATGGCTCTGAACGGCTCTAGCCCAAGCTGTGATATAAATGAACGCTATTGGCTATTTGAAAAGGGGCGGGGCTGCTTGATATGTCCCGCCCTGTCTTCCTGTTTCAGTTAAAATGACGTCAACACAGTAATGCTGTGTGTTTCTAAGCATTTCAGGGGACCTTTAAAGATAGTAAAACACATGCATAACAATTGCTGAAATTAAATTTATATTTGGTTTACATAATGTTTTCTAAATTAGAAATAATTTTGAAAAAAAATTCTAAATTAGAATGATTTGAACTTGAGAAAAAAAATGAATCTGTAAAATTCTCA